CAATGTACCGGACAGATGGGGACCTCAAAGTAAGGATCGTTCTCTCTTTCCATCTTCTTGTCTTCTCATCTTCTCTTTTCTTCTCTCAACATTTATATTTGTTCTCTTGGGTCCTTGGTGCTCTCTTGCCACCAAGAGCTCAAGCACGTGAATGGTTTGACATGCTTTTGTGGAGCCTCTAGAGGAGCCTTAGCACTCCTAAGGTGCCTCATCAGATTCTATGCGACTATCACCTCGCATCTCTTTTGACGTGCTTTTGTGGCGCCTCTTGAGGTGCCCCTTGAGGCGCCTCAGAATGCATGAGGTGCCCCATCAGATCGTATGTGACTATCACCTCGCAGCTCCTTTGATGTCTTCAGGAAAGCGGATGGTAATGTGAGAAAGTGGTCTGTCTGTGCATATGACTACCTCGGAGCTCATTCATTTGATGTGTCGCTTTTCCGCGCTTGTGTGTCGTTTTAATCCCTTCCCGTTTGAAAATCCCCCTGGCACTCATCAGGACAAGTGGAGGAATCTGTTGCGTACGGCTCAGATCGAGGCACATTTGCGTCGGTGCAGGGTGGAGGAGGAGAAGTTGCCAGAGGAGCTGTTGAAACGAGTGAAGCAGCTGCAAGAGTACTGGAAAGAGCAGCGCAAAATACGTCGAGAGAGGCAACGTTCGTAACGTCCCAACTAAAACTGTAGTTCCTTTGCTGAACTTTCTCCTACGCTGCTGCTTGCTGGAACATGTCTCAATTCAACTCAAAAGTCACCGTGCACTGACCTTCGAGAAGATGACAGGCAGCTAGCCAGGTGGACTCTTGTGTCCGTTGAGATACTGAACGTGCTTTTTGAGAATTCTAGAAAAACAAGAGGCTCCATGTATCACTCCTTCTGCCAAATAGACCAGAATTACTCCTAGTGTTTGAGTAGGCTTCTTACCCCACCTCCCTCGCCTTTTCCCACCCCTTCCTGCCTTCCCCTCCTCCCCTGCCTTCCCGTTTGCAGGTCGACAAAGGTGCTCTGTGAGAGCAGCAAGAAGAGCTCGCAGCAGCAGCGCAGAAAATGGAGGTGAATCTAGAGGAGCAGCGGGCGAAGGAAGAGGGGCAGCAGGTGGGGCAAACGGGGTTGGGGGTGAAGTGACTGCAGGCAGAGGCGGAGGCCGCAGGGGGGCAGGGGTGGGGCAGGCAGAGGTGGGGCAGGGGGAGGTGGGGCAGGGGGAGGTGGGGCAGGCAGAGGTGGGGCAGGGGGAGGTGGGGCAGGGGGAGGTGGGGCAGGGGGAGGTGGGGCAGGGGGATGTGGGGCAGGGTGGGGTGGGGCAAGGGGGGGTGGGGCAGGGGGGGGTGGGGCAGGGGGGGGTGGGCCATGGGGAGGTGGGGCAGGGGGAGGTGGGGCAGGGGGAGGTGGGGCAGGGAGAGGAGGGGCAGGGGGAGGTGGGGCAGGGGGGGGTGGGGCAGGGGGAGGTGGGGCAGGGGGGGGTGGGGCAGGGGGGGGTGGGGCAGGGGGAGGTGGGGCAGGGGGAGGTGGGGCAGGGGGAGGTGGGGCAGGGGGGGGTGGGGCAGAGGGGGGTGGGGCAGGGGGAGGTGGGGCAGGGGGAGGTGGGGCAGGGGGAGGTGGGGCAGGGGGGGGTGGGGCAGGTGGAGGTAAGGCAGGCGGAGGTGGGGCAGGTGATGCGGATTAGCGGTGATGAGGAGGCAAGGCCGCAGCAAGGTGGGGGGGTGAAATTTGTTGTGGAGGCAGGTCACCAACTGTGTTTGTGGATAGTGGTGCAAAGCCTGGGTGGTTGCAGAAGGAGAGTGGCAGAGGTGGAGGTGCGGCAGGCGGAGGTGGGGCAGGCGGAGGTGAGGCAGGTGGAGGTGCGGCAGGCGGGTCGGATCGACTGTGATGAGGAGGCGAGTCGACAGCAGCAACTGGAGGTTAGTGTTGTTGGGAGGTAGGCCGCTCTGGGTATGCTTGTGCTAAGAGGAACGATGCTGTTGTAACGATGCAGAAAGAGAGTAGCAGAGGAGACGCACGAGAGGTAGATGCACGATGCATGAGATACACGATACACATAGGAAAGATTGACAATGGTGAGGAGGTGAGGCTGCAGCTGTGACTGAAGGTGAGTGTTGTTGGGAGGTAGGCCGCTCTGAGTTGTGTGTGCTTGGAGGAGCGATGCATGAGAGACAGATGCATGATGCATGAGAGACAGATGCATGATGCATGAGAGACATAGGGAAGATTGACAATGGTGAGGAGGTGAGTGCTGCTGGTGCTTCGGAGGTTCCTGGCTGTGGGTGTGAGGAGAGTTGAAGCTGTAGGAGAGAGTACAGGTGAGAATGGTGTTGCTGTGGAAATGCGTATCTGCCTTAGAAACTCTGTGCCGTCTCTTCCTCTGTCATGACAACTAACGTGCTGCCTCTGCTTTCACTGATGCAGGTAGCAAATCCACCTGTTACAGAGGGGCATGATTCAGAGCATGGTGGCAGCAGCAGCAGCAGCAGCAGTGGCAACAACAACAACAACAACAGTCAGGCACACGTTTCTTTGGGTTCCAGCCTGTTAGGTGACGCCGTTGCTGAAGTGAGCGCACTTGTGAGGCGCTTTGAAAGCAGGAACAACGACAGTCAGGCACATATCCGTCTTGGTTCCAGCCTGTCAGGTGCCGCCCTTGCTGAAGTGAGCTCACTATTAAGGCCCCACGAAAGCAGCAGCAGCAGCGACAACAACAACATTCAGGCACCAATTTCTATAAGTTCCAGCCGTTCAGGTGCAGCCCGTCCTGAAGTGAACTCACTTCAGGATGATGATGAGGTCAGCTCTGTGCCTTCCTTCAAGCGCCTCAAGAGCAGCAGGGAGCAGCAGCGTCTGGGCGCCCAACAGCATCTAGATGGCCAACTGAGGGGTGCGCCTCAAGAGCAGCAGGGAGCAGCAGCGTTTGGCCGTCCCGCACTGAGCTCATCCGTGGTCGAAATAGAGGATTCTGAGGATGAAGACAGTGATGTAGCACTGCAACCTGCAACACAGGAGGTTGCTGCCGCCAGAACAACAAAAAGAAAGAGGAAGTCTAGTCGGCTTCCGGACTTCGATTACGGTAACTGAATCACAGCTTAGATGTTCTCCCAGTCGGGCCCTGCAAGTGGTCTTTGATCTTCAGTGATGATAGATCTGTTTATGGTACATTCCTAGCCTCGCGTCTCAATCAAGCAGTGCGGTGTGGTGAGAATCCTTAATTGCTAGGTGAAATGTGGTGGATTGTGATGCAATGCGATTGCGACACGAGTGTAGGTATGTGTCCTAGGCATCTTCTACATTATCTTTCATTTGGTGCTCAGAATGCTTCTTCCAACATTAATCTTGACCTTGGTCAAGACGAGGAGGTAAAAAGGGCGATGGACGCGAGAGACGAGGAACGGCGACAAAAGGGTGAGCTGGTGAGGAGAGTAGTGGAGTTGGAGGAGAGGTGGCTAGAGGCGGAAGAGTATGCTTCTCAACTGGAGGAAGCAGTGATGAAGGTGCAGGAGGCAAAGAAAGAAGAGGTGGTGGTAGCGGAGATAGCACCAGAGGGAGTGGCAGAGCAAGGGGAGGAAGTAAAGAGGATTATAAAGGGACGAGGCATTGCAATTGACGGACGAGCGGGCAAGGAGGGGAGAGGAGTTGGAGGAGCAGAGGGATGGGGCATTGTGGTCGGCGGAGCAGCGGGCGAGGGAAGCAGAGGAGTTTAGGGACGAATTGGATGAGGCATTGCAAAAGATGGAGGACGCGGCAAGGGAGGCAGAGGAGTTTAGGGACGAGAGGAATAAGGCATTGCAATCAATGGAGGAGGCGGCAAGGGAGGCAAAGGAGTTTAGGGACGAGAGGGACGAGGCGTTGCAATCGGCGGAGGAGCGGGCGAGGGAGGCAGAGGAATTTAGGGAGGAGGGGGACGAAGCGTTGCGAGTGGCGGACGAGCGGGCGAGGAGGGGAGAGGAGTTGGAGGAGGAGAGGGTGCGAGAGTCGGAAAGGAGGGCGAAAGGGGATGCACTGTCATTGGAGGAATCAGCACTGAAGGTGCAAGAGGCAAAGGAACGGGAGGTGGTGGTAGGGAGGGAGTGAGTGAGAGACTGGTGGGACAGGAGGAGGAGGGAGTGAGTGAGAGATTGGGGGGGCAGGAGGAGGGGGAGGGGGAGGGGGAGGGGGAGGGGGGGGAGGAGGAGGGGGAGGGGGAGGGGGAGGGGGAGGGGGAGGGGGAGGGGGGGGGAAGGGGGGGGGGAAAGGGGAGTGGGGGGGTGGGGGAGGGAGAGGGGGAGGGGGGGGTAAGGGGAGGGGAGGAAGGGGGAGGGGGAGGGGGAGATGGGGGGGAGGGGGAGGGGGAGATGGGGGGGAGGGGGAGGGGGAGATGGGGGGGAGGGGGAGGGGGAGATGGGGGGGAGGGGGAGGGGGAGATGGGGGGGAGGGGGGGGGGGAGGGGGGGGAGGGGGAGGGAGAGGGGGAGGGGGAGGGAAGGGGGGGGAGGAAGGGGGAGGGGGAGTGGGAGAGGGAGGGGGAGGGGGGGGAGTGGGAGGGGGGGGGGAAGGGGGGGCGGAAGGGGGAGGGGGGAAGGAGGGGGAGGGGGGAGGAGGAAGGGAGTGAGAGACGGAGGGCCCGGTGGAGGAGGTGGAGTCTGCTGACAGTGCGCCAGAGAGCAAGGGGTGGGGCGCGGCTACAGCTGAGGAGGCAGGGGATGAGGAGAGAACGGCGCCAGTTCATAGTGGACGAGGTGGCGTGGCGCTGCTGGTGGCTGGTGCGGAGGAGATGGGCATGGGCAGATGGATGGGTGAGAGCATGAGAGTGAAGGATGTTCGAAGTGGACACTGGAATGGCCCAAAGTGGTTACCCAAAAGGTTACAGGTGTCGCCAGGGAGAGGGGGGGTATGGGTGCGCTGAACCACCACACCAAAGATGTCTTTTTATTCCAGTTGGATAGCGAACATGAGCTATCTCTGCATGATGAGGTGAGCGTTAAGAAGATTGGGGTTTGATTCTCGCTGTTGGCAAACTTCTTCTGCCTTAATGGTGGGCTCTTTTAGTGAGAGGAATGTTGGAAATGGACACTAGAATGACCCAAAGTAGTCTCCTCAAGAGCTACAAGTGTCGTCCTAGAGCAGTATGGATACGCTGATGCACAGAGTAAATATGTCATTTTATCCCAGTTAGTTAGCGAGCTAGAGTTCTGTCTGCAAGGGCGAGATTGAGAGCGTGAGAGTGAGGGTGAGGGTGTTGAGGAAGCGTTTACAGTGCATGAGGTGTCGTTGCTGGTGGCTGGTGTGGAGGAGATGGGCATTCGCATGTGAGTGGGTGGTGGTAAGAGCATGAGGGTGAGGGTGATGGCGGTGAGGAGGTGACTGTTGACAGTGGGCGAGGTTGCGCTGCTGGAGGCTGCTGTTGAGATGGGCGTTGGCAGGTAGGTGGGGGTGAGGGCGTGAGGGTGAGGTGAGAGCGTTAGGGTGAGAGCGTGAGGGTGAGGTTGGGGATGAGGGTAAGGGTGTGGGTGAGATCGTGAGGTCGAGGGTCTGAAGGTGTTGAGGAGGCGACCGTTCACAGTGCCTGAGGTGGCGTTGCTAGTGGCCGTTGTGGAGGAGTTGGGCAGTGGCAGGTGGGTAAGTGAGGATGAGACTGCGAGAGTGAGGGTGAGGGAGGTGAAAAGGCGTCCATTCACAGTGGCTGGGGTGGAGTTGTGGTGTTGCTGGTGGCTGCTATGGAGATGGCATTAGCAGGTAAGTGGAGGGTGTTAGAATAAGGGTTGTATTGATTGATTAAAGAGTAGGACACATGGCCTTGAGTAGCACAAACTAGGAAGGATTAGGTAGGTAAGGTGCAATCGGAAGAGGATCCTATGGAATCTTAGGAGGATCCAACCAATCCAACCAACCAACCAAGGATGGATGGAGGGAAATTGGATAGGTTGGGGATGCGAAGATCTACACCCAACCCAACCGAAATTATAGACTTACTAGAAATTGTAACCCCTACAACTTTTCAAGGCTAACACACAAAGTGCAGCCTATTTCCAGCACACCATGTAGGCTGCAGCAATCCCAAGGCCCATGGCTCCAAGTAGACAATAATGGTCAAGACGGGCATGGGGCTTGGTGAACAAGTCAGCCAGGTTGTAGTCAGAAGAGGCATGCTGCACACAGAGCTGTCCACGCTGCACCCGCTCTCGAAAGAAAAAGTGTCGAAGCTCGATATGCTTGGTGCACTAATTGAATACGGGGTCTTTGATAAGATGAATGGTGCTCTCATTATCACACCAAAGAGTTAGAGTTGGTTGATGGAAGCCAAGCTCGGCCAAAAGGAAGAATAGCCAGCGGGCTTTCTGAGTCGTCATGGTGCCCGCATACAACTCAGCTTTACACGCTGAAAAGGAGTCAAGCGATGAGTGCGTGGATCACCAACTGATGACGCCGCTACTAAGCGTGAAGCAATAGCCTTGAGAAGATCGACGGTCAGACTAGTCGTTAACCTATGACGAGTCATTGTAAACTTCAAGCTGTGGTGGGGATGTTCCACCAAAAGTAAGGTCATAGTCCTTGGTAGCCTGGAGGTAGCAAAGAACCTGTTTTGTAGTAGACCAGTGAAGATACGTGAAACGTCCAGCAGTGAAAAAACAGGATAAAATGCTGATGAGATATGCAAGATCGGGCCTTGTGCACGTTGTGGCGTGCGTCAAGGGCCCAACAAGCTCAAGATAGGCTTCGTGGCAAGGTTCTGGTGATGGAGTTGGTGGAGCAGTCAATGCGTGTTGGAGCGGAAGAGGGGTGGCGACAGGCTTAGCGTGGTCCATGTTGAAGCGTTTGAGCACGTTGTGTTGAATGCACGCCAGTTTAAGTGCATGACATCCTAACGTACTGCCTAGTGCTTGTGCTATTTGTGTTTGCATTATTTGCATGAGCATATGTCATTACGCATGGCTGTTGGATCCACATCTGTGTTTTTCTTCAAGTCTACATGCTTGATCATGCAAGGGAAATCCAGAGCTTTCCAACGATCCTAAGATCGCCTTATTCCGACCAAGATCGCCCAAGTTACAAGATTTCCAAGTTACGGGAGTTCTATCTCATTGTGAGATATTATCTACATTTGACAATTATTGAGACATAATTATAAAAGAGTCTTTGTTAGAAAGGCAACTTTGACTTTTAGATTGGAGTGGTTAAAAGTTTTTAGCATGGATTGCAAATATTGCAACATCAGTTGGATTTTGCATGTGACACCTCTAGGATCTCATGCTGAGGGTTGTATTCTTGCTACTAAAAAGGTTCGTACCATCCTTCTCTATCTTTTGGAAAACATCTTCCCTCTCTGTAAAAAGTTTGAAGAGAGAAGAGAGTTGCACTAGCAAGAATGGGGATACAAATAGCAAACCCTAGAAGGATTGTACTCGCTATAGAACACCCCACTACAGGCTAGAGCATAAGATAACATTCTGACACACCCCCATAGCCAAAGTGGGGTGTAATCAGCAGAGCAAGCAAAGGAGTACAAGCTCAGGGTGGATCACAATGTCACCACACATTGTGAGCACAAGTTCAAGAAGCAATAGGTTAAGGTTCACAATAATGAGCAAAGTTAGTGGTAGTCACAACGGGCAAGTGAGGAGGAGGAGAGAGAGTGAGAAGAGAGGAGATAGGAGGCGACGGCTGAAGCTGCACACACACGGGCAACAGGAAGCACACTGGCACAGCGGCTACCGGAACAACGCTCCGGAATACTGGAGTAACTGGCCCCGCGGCTAAAGTAGTGGCAGACGAGCAACGGACCCACGGGCGGCTGGCACAGCTGGCTACGACTGGGCTATCGGAGCAACTCCCCGAAATACAGGTGCTGCTGGCGACACGACGGCAACCTCCATACAACTTCCCCACACTATCCCACTCCCCCTGGCACGCATCCGCTGCTACACCGCTAGCTCCACTCACACGCACCCTTAAACCCTAAACCCCAGACTCCCACACATCCACCCCCCTCAACGACAGCTGCAGCAGTGGGAGACGAAGGAGGAGGAGGAGAAGGGGACGGCACGCACAACCGACACCCCCACAACCATCACCCCCATACCCGTCACCCCCATACCCTGAGTGTGCGGTAAGGGAGCTCAGGTGTGCGTGAAGCGTGCACAAGCGTGCGGGAAGCGAACTCGGATGTGCGGTAATCGAACTCAGGTGTGCGGGGAGGGGGGCCGCAGGGCGACGCGCGGGTCGACGGGGACGGGTGCACGGGTCCCCAGGGGCGGCGCGCGGGTCGACAGGGCCGCCGCGAAGGGCGACGAGGAGCCGCGTGCGGGTCGACGGGGCCGCCGCGAAGGGTGACGGGGAGCCACGCGCGGGTCGACGGGGCCGCCGCGAAGGGCGACGGGGAGCCGCGCGCGGGACGACGGAGCCGCCGCGAAGGGCGACGGGGAGGCGCACGCAGGTCGACGGGGACGGGCGACGGGGCCGGTGCACGTGCCCTCGGTGCGCCGAGACGGGTCCCCGTCGCCCGTCGCGGCGCCTCCAGAGGGCGACGCGGCGAACGACGGGGCAGAACCCCGCCGCGCGCCTCGGGGCGCACAGCGGGCAGAGAACCGCCGCGCGCCTCGGGGCGCACGGCGGGCCGAAAACCGCCGCGCGCCTCGGGGCGCACGGCGGGAATAAAAAGTGCCGCACGCCACGGGGCGTGCGGTTCAGAGTGTAGTGGTAGGAGTTGCAGCGGAAGCTAGGAAGTGGTAAGCCCACCCACAGGATCGATCCAAGGGGATCGACCTGCTCTGATAGCATGTAAAAAGTTTGAAGAGAGAAGAGAGTTGCACTAGCAAGAATGGGGATACAAATAGCAAACCCTAGAAAGGTTTTACTCGCTATAGAGCACCCCACTACAATCTAGAGCATAAGATAACATTCTGACACTCTCATTGTTCTCTTGAAGTCCCCAACTCCAACTTTTGATGCCATAATGCTTCTATTTCTTCCACCATTTTAATCATACAGCAGCTGGACGTTTTCAATTGGTTTTCACTCTCCAAACCATTTTTTTGAGTGATTCAGATTAGAGATGATAGCTAAGTCTGAGGCGCATAATCCTACTGTGCGGATTTGCGTTTAGCTGAAAAATGAATTGGTCGTAAGTTCTCAAAGTGACGGATCCTGAACAACGCGTTGGACACGTAGAATTCTTGAGAGGGTGGCGGTGCGGTTGGGGTGATCTATTATTTCCATGCCGAGGTGGTTCTTAAGTTCGCCAAGGTCTTTCATGGTGAGAGCGTCACCAAGAGCCTTTTTTAGTGCTTCCAACTAAGCGAGGTCTTTTGAGAGAAGAATCATGTCGTCCATGTAGACGAGGATAAATAATGGCTCGTTCATTTGACGAATGAATAGACTTGGATCAGCAGCCGATGATGCAACTCGAGTGTCCCCTGGGTGAACTTCAATCTGTTGTGCCATTCACGTGGGATCTACTTCAGTCCATAAATAGGACAATTGAGTTTCCAGACTGTGCCAGGCAAAAATGGTGAAGGAAAGCCTTGGGGTCGTTCCATTTAGATGTCTTCAAATAGGTGTCCTTGAAAAAATGCAAAAGCCACATCCACGTCGTTGATTTCGTAGTCTTCGCGAGCTGTGACGTCGAGCAGAATGCGGAGAGTGGTGGGTTTGGCTGTAGGAGAAAAAATCTCGAAAAAGTCCAGACCCTTCTTCTTAGTTTGTGCGCAGTAGCAAGCTTTGAAGACCCTTCTTCTCCGTGAAACATTGTACGCATTAGCAAGCTTTGAAGACCGGAACACCTACTTGCCATGAACAATGTTGACTCCGGGCAGAGGTGAGATCCCGTTGTACGAGTTGATGTGTGTGAAAGTCTCACGTTATGCAATGGTGGCTGCTAGCCATTGAGCGGCGTGGGGATATGAGATAGTTTTTTTGTATGTTGTAGGAGTTGGGATAGATGTGTTTCAAAGAATTTGAGGGTGGAAGAGTCGGCCAAGGTCTAGAAAAAGGTAGCAGGGTTGATGAGTAGAAGCATTGAGATCAATCAGCTCCTCATGCCCGTCTTCAAGAAGGCTGGGCATAGACACACCCCCAGCAGGAGGAGGCGAATCGAGAGAGATGTGGAGAGAGAAGTCGAGTGGAGAAGGACGGTTGTAAGATCGGGTGCAGTGGGCAACGAGAGAGGAACAAGGTGCTGGTGAAGGCGGAGGAACATCAACATAGGAGGGGCCACGGTGGCGATGGCGGTAAGTGATGAGAGTAGGAGCAGAAATGGAAGGGGCAGAAGTTGAAGGAGGATGCGTGGGTGACGCAAGAGGAGCAGAAGGAGGAAGGGTTGCAGATGGAGGAGGTGACGAGTTAGGAGGCGCAGAGGTGACGGAGGGAGATGGAGGGTCGGACAGAGTGGAAGGAGAGGAAGCCAGAGAGGGGGAAGAGGAAGGAGGAGGCGAGGAGGCGAGCGCTGGAGAGGGGAATGGATCGAATTCAGCCCACATAAGAGGTGGGGAAGGTGGGGCGGATGGAGAAGTTGCGTAGAAAGGTCGTGTTTCATCGAATACGACGTCACGACTGTGGATGAGTTGATATGAGGTAGCGGCTTCAGCTGCTGTTGCAACATTTCTTCGTGAGTCTCCGCATCGAAGATTGGGAGAAATTCCAACCAATATGCGTCGCCACAAACGTTTGATCCCGCCTTCAATTGGAACTGGTTTTCACCGCATTTGCACTGAATTGGCAAGCACATAAACCACTCCTTGTGTCATTCTGCATGGGGAGGCTCATTGATGACTCAAGCAAGGCAGACCAAGAGTACAGTTAACCGGACCTACCAGTCTCGGCAAGGCAGGTTTGATGCCAGCCTACCAAGGTCCAAGCAACACGTGCAGCATGCGAGATGTATCCACGAGGTGTTTCTGCGAGCACATAAGTGTGCCAACGGTGCAGTGGGGTTTTTGCGGTTCTCGTGCAATGGGGAGTTTGCAGATCGAAGAAGGTGCTCTATGAGAGCAGAAAGAAGAGCTCGCAGCAGCAGTGCATGCAGTGAATGGAGGACCATGTGGGTTTGAGCAGAGGTGAGGGTGTAACGGAAAGTGCAGGTGAGGGTTGTTGCGTTAATTCAAGGTTTACGAAGTAAGCTTGCTTAAAAAACACGCCAGCTAAGCCGTGTGTGGGCAACAGGCAATAGTGCCTACATGAACGAGTTACGGTGTGAGCTTTCTTGTTAGCGGTTTGTTTATGTGTAGAAATTCAGAAAATCCCCCTCGGCGGTTTTTTTTTGTTTTTGTTTTTGTTTTTGTTTTTTTTGTTTTTTTTGTTTTTTTTAAGACGAATCATTGAGTTGAGCAATATCCAATCCCAAATTATTCTCACTACATATTCCATTTTGCCTAATTTCATCTTCGTTTTCCTTTAGGCATTGTGGATGTGAGCAGAGGTGAGGGTGTAGCAGAGATTGCAGGTGAGAGTGCTTTCGTTGCATTAATGCAAGGTTCCTTGCATTGTGGGTGTGAGCAAAGCTGAGGGTGTAGCAGAGAGTGCAGGTGAGAGTGGTGTTGTTGCGCTAATGCAAGATTACTGGCTGTGTTCATCCAGAGGAGCAACCTGCACTTCATCTTGGTAATTTGGTTGGAGTGTGCTGCACGTGTTTGCTAAAATCTCACAAAAGCGCCTCTTGATTACTCGAGAATAGATTGGGCACACCATGCCTTCAGGCACCCGAGTTGCAGGCCTTGATTAAAATGGTGTTAGTCCAGCGGGTAGTTGGTTGCATGATGTGCGTGCAAGGCCAGCCACTCGTGGGTTGGGAGAACCAATCACAGCATGCCACATGTATCTGACGTGCATGTCTCCTTGCCGTTCCTTTCATCTGTTCGTATCTGTTCTGCGCACCATCACATCACATCATATCATATGACATCATATCGTATTTTATTGTATCGCATCGCATGTACTGCATCGTATCTTATTTTATTGTTTCTTACTGTATGACATCATATCCTATCGTATCTTATCGTATCATATTATATCATGCCATATCATTTCGTCTCATATCAATGTCATGTCGTATCCTCCACCAGCTTGGCAGGCTTGGCGGCAGTGACTATACTCCGTTCCTGCAGCACTTGGGATTGCCGCTGCTGCCTTGCATATTGGTTAAGGTGTGTACTGACAGGGGAAGGTTCATAGTGAGATGTGGAGGTGGGTAGTGACGGGGGAGGTGCATGCATAGAGAGAGGGGATGGTGGGTAGTCAGAGGGTGAGGTGGGTATCGAAGACGGGTTGAGGAATGTGGGAGTTGCTTGTGCGTACACTCAAAGTTGCCCGCAGGAATGTGCATATTTTCTGCAGCAGCTTTGTACTGCCGCACTGTTTTCTATTTTCACCCATCCCTCTCAACTATCCCTCTCAACCCCCTTCAACCCCCAGAGCACTCAATCTATCATGGCCTGTACGACAACCACCACCATGTGCCTGACATATTGGCAAAGATCTCAGGCAAGATGTAACCTTACATTCTCCCTCACATGCCACATCCTGTTTCTCTAACCTCACATTCTCCCTCACATACCACAGCCTGTTTCTCTAACCTCACATTCTCCCTCACATACCACAGCCTGTTTCTCTAACCTCACATTCTCCATCTCAACTGATCCCTTTCACTGTACCCATCTCTGACCCCCTCCACCCCGGCAGAGCACCCCATGTATCATAGTCTGTACAACAACCACCACTACATGCCTTCTATTCTGCCAGCATCATGATTCTCCTCTGCACCTTCTTTGCCCTTCTAACACACCCTTGTGTCTCACCTCACCCCCTCCCACTCCCTCCCCACCCTCTCCCACCCCAGACAACCCCATATCAGGGTAAGTTCTCTGAAATCTCAGCGTATTCATTGCACATGGCAGCATCACACTGCTGCATTGGTACACTGCTGATCTCATCCTCTTGTGATGAGTCAATTTTTTTTGTTGACTAAAAAATCGACGCATCACAAGCCGCTGTCCATCTGCAGAGGATGTGGCAGCATCACACTGCTGCACTGGTAAACCGCTGATCTCATCCTCTGCAGGCTTGAATCTGACCGTGAGTGAGTTCAGTGCAGCTAGGGTGGCAACTGACAGACTGGAACTTAAGAAACCCTGCGCTCAACTGTTGCTGCTGCTGTTGCTTCTGCATCGTCTGCTGCTGCTGCTACCACATGCTCTTGATGTCCACCTGTAGCAGGTGGATTCGCATTTTCCAAGCAGAGAAACAGTTTTCCAAGCAGAGGCAGAGGCAAAGGCAGAGAAACAGTTTTCCAAGCAGAGGCAGCGACAGGGTGAAAGGGAAATGGTACAGCGTTCTGAAATCAGGTGCTCGAATCTGCATTTATCTGACACGCAAGGACCCAATCAGCAGGTATCAGTGGCATTTCTATACCTTTAGGAACACCACGGGCCTGCTGAGGACCCGGATGGGGGGCAAAGTAATACTTAGGCGGTGTGGGCAGCTGCAGGTAACATTTAAGTAAATTTAAAGGTCAGACGGTGTGGGTACCTGCAGGTAACATTTGAGTCAACTTGAAAGTTAGACGGTGGGGGCAAATGCAGGTGATCTGTAGCTTGTAAACCATGTCAGAGCTTTGAGTAACATGATGTAGCCAGAAACCTGTCAACTCTGATACAGCTAGAAACCTGTCAACTCTGCTACAGCAATACAAATATGACACCCCACTCTCCAGTCCATATGGGTGAATTGCCAGAAACCTGTCCACTCTGCTACAGCCAGAAACCTGCCAGCTCTGTTACAGCCAGAAACCTGTGAACTCTGCTACAGCCAGAAACTTGTCAACGCTGCTACAGCAATACAAATACGATTATGTAGCCCACTCTCCAGCCCATATGGGTGAATTGGCAGAAACCTGTCAACTCTGCTACAGCCAGACCTTCTCTGGTTCATCACTGTCGAACCGTTAGCCTGCCCGTCTTTCTCCTGCAAACCCCCTCCCCCTCCTGCAGATCCTTCGCCTGCCCCTCCCTTTATCACACTGCTACTGCGAGCTCCTCAATCTGCTCCCTGAGTGCGCTGTTCTTCGACTGTAAACAAGGATTTGAGAGTGGAAGGTGGGGAAGAGGAGCGTAATAGAAGGATGCTTCCAACATTAGGCTCACGCTCCCTGTCTTACACGCTTCGCTGCACTGCTGCTGCGAGCTCCTCGTTCCGCCCCCTGAGTACGCTGTTCTTTGTCCTGCAGCCCGACTTTAAAGGTTGATTTGAGAGTGGAAGGCAGAGAAGAGGAGCATAACAGCGGGGGTGTTTTAAGCATTAGGCTCACGCTCCCTGCCTCACACGCTTCACTGCTGCTTCCCTGCTCATGCAGCCATGATCCACCCAACTCACACTCATCAATCTGAGTTCGTGCAGCAACAGCCACAGCATGCGGGCTGTTCAGCAGCCATTGCGGGTGGTGAGTGTGTAAGAACCACAACACGTGTGCAGCGGCTACACATATGATGGAAATGGGACAGCATATGCAGCTACACACTTGTGTGGCGTTTTTCACAAGATTTAGCCGCTGGGGGGGGGTTAGGTGGAGGGGCAGCCATCGCCAGTTGCTGTTGAATTTGCTCCACTCTCCACCTCAATGCTGCTAGCACCTCGTCCCTTTAGAGCCGACTCAAAAAGCACCAGTCATGCAAACTCAGCAGCTGCTGCATACAGCAAAACACTATCTGGTAAAGCCCTCTGTTTCATTCCTTTATGAATCAACACCACACTAGACCCCATCCTTGAACTTGGCAAACTCGTGAAGCTACTGCTTCAGGCTGTGCTCCCCCACCCACTCTGTTCCAAAGGCAACCTTTCATCACTCCAGTCTTACAGCATCAATTGCCCACAAATCCTCCGTCCCAACCCCTCTCTCTCGCATTTCGATTTTTGCAAATGCTTGAAAGTGCTGCTTCAGTCTGTGTTGCCCCAAAAGACCAGCTTTTGTTCACTCAAATATCAGCACACACTCGCCTACACTACACCCCCTGACCCCTCCGCCTCTCACCTTGAAGCATGAAGTGTGTGAATCATTACATGCTCTGCTTGAGGTTTTGCAACCTCAATAACCCCTGTTGATCGGCCTCCACTATTTCCAGCTGCTGCTGAACGTCCAGCAGGTGTTGCTGGTAGGTGGACAAGAAGAGACAAAGAAGCAGAGAAAAGAAGCGCAAAGGAAATGAATGAGAGAGGTCACGTTTGAGGTGAAATTAGATTGTTTATGAGAATCTCAAAAACAACTTAATTTCACGTACGAAGTAGAAAAAAGAAAGGTCGAGGAAACAAATGAGTGAGCTCAGGTTACCGGATGGTCGTCCAGGTGGGGGATGAAGGGGAGGGGTGGGATTCCTTTCTGCCTTCTCCACCTGCTGCTGCTTTTGTTGCTGCACTCCCAGCTGTTGTTTCCCTACCACTTCCTTCCACCCGGCAAAAGCTTCACACCTTAAGCTGAGCGTTTTCCTGGGAAAGTGCTAATTCTCTTTGCACACACTGGTCAGCCAAGCTTCTCTGCAACGCCACTTCCATACGCAATCACTCCATCTCCTCCAAAGCCCTGTGGTCATGGCGAGAGGACAAAAAGGCAGGGGATAAGGTAAAGGGAATGCAGAACGAGCTCTTTGACACTAAACATGATCTGGAATTCTCTAGAGTGCATAGGGGGTTTATTGGAATGAAGTAAATTTTGGGAATGCCTGAAGCCACTTGAAATAACTCCACCAAGGCCTGGATGGGTTGGGTGATGGGGCCACAATGCTGTGACAGTCAGAATTGCCAATTGAGCCTCTATCCAGCCATTCTTATTAGTTACAGGGGCTTATTCCCGATTCACTTGAATGGGACCGTCCAGAGCAAGAGTCATTCTGATTGGCACAGGAAAATGGTGAAGTCAGACGTGCACAGGAAAACTGCGGATTGGCACAGAGAGGGCAAGGGCGAGTTATTTCTCAGTTTCATGAATGAGGGGGTTCAGATCAGAGCAAGAAGAGAGGGGAGGGGATGAAATGGGGAGAGGCA